CGCACACAATGTTTAGAATCTAGCCTTCGTATTTTTGGGCCCTCAAACTAATTTTATGAACCTAGATTTTTATCTTTTTATGCAAACTTCTCTGTGAAAAATATATAAAATGATTGTATTCCTAACTTTTGCCAGGAGGGATTCCTAGTTTTTGCTATGAAAGGTACTTATTTTGTGTTTGTTGATCAATAGGTCATGACTGATCAGATCATTTCTTTAAAAAAATTCTTTTATTGCAGCTGAGTGTAAGCTGCAAAAGAGACTCAGAGAAAAAATACCAAACAAATCGCTGATATTGTCTGAAACAAAGCTTAAGTGAGGGGATCTTGGAAAAAGTTCTAGCTTTATGCTTGATCAATGATGATGAAAACCAATTCTCTTCATTCAAGCAAGTGATTGCTAGTCAGTGTGAAGCATTTGCTTGTTAGGATATCTTTGCCATTGTTTTCTAACAGTTGATTTGAATTTTCAAGTTATATAAATATGACCCATGCCACTCACGTGCATCATTGTGTTTTAATCAAATCAATGAATTATGTGGGAATTTTATAACGAAAATGCCCAATATTTTGCAATGATTGTGATGAATGCTGGCTTGGCTTTTCCACTTCTCATATTCTTAAAGATACATTTTGTGCTGCCAATTTACATAGCTATCAAATAAAAGTTGTATTTTGGAAGTACATCTAGAGTCATTGAAGATAATGATTACATATGCCCTAGAGCAAGAAGTCATACTTCAATCTGTAGCATTTTCATAGGATAATTCTTGTGGCTCGCAACAGATGATGTGATATGTGGTTTATACAAAAGAGAATGTTATTGTATTATTGTAATTATTTTTATTATTTGTTTATCTTTATCATTATTGTAGGACCTTTATGATCATCTGAAGAACTACTTAGCGGAGAGGGGGATCAATAAGGATTTCTGTGAGAAGCTTTCAGACTTATCCAGTGCAGTGGAACATCGGCAATACATTGGCTTTCTCAACCAACTCCAAGGGTTCGTTAAGAAATGAGTCGACTGAATCTATCTTGGACTTTGTAGTTCATCATCTTTTTTTAATAAATCTCCGGCCGTCGGTGCGGACATACGAAGACTGAAGTCGTGCTGTACCCTGAGAGACTATACCTGAATACTACAGATTTTATGGAATGCTTGTTCACGTGCAGTTGGATAGAAAGATACCTGTGTGCATGACGTTTTTAATCATGTTATACAGGGTGGCCCCAAAAGAACGCAACACCCACGATCTGCAAACATCATTGGCACACTGTCGTTGGTTTTTGTTTTATTGAGTAGAATTTTTTTTCTAGTAACACGACATCATCATCATCAATTTTAATTCTTAGGCTATTTTTGTGAAGCAACGTCATTAAAAAATGGCTACTTATGCATCCTTAGTCGTGTTTAAAGCAACAAGTACTGTATTTTGTGCATGACTGCTGCCTTCCCATACATTTAGCCATGTTGAAAAGAAATGTCATGTGTTTGTCAACACAACTGATTGTATGGGAAGCCATTGCAGATCTCCCAGTGTTGCACTGGGCCACCCTGTATAATACAAAAATCATTGTTGATGTTTTGATTATTCGAAAGTCCTCTCAGTCCTGCAGTTAGTTGTTTGGTCTTAAACGCTGAGCTAGCATGAAACCTTAATGTATTCATTACTAAATAAAGAATTATGTTCTTCATTTCTTGAATTTGAAGTAATAATCTTACACAAAAAGACAAAGTATAACATAACAGTTTTACCTGATTTTTAACCAAAGCAACTTCATTTATTATTAATAAATATAGTAACAAACAAAAGAACAGACCAAATCCAATGTTATGACTCATTTTTGTACTAAAATCATGATAAAACCCCAATATATAAGTAATATGATTTCTACCACAATGTTTTGCAGTTAGAAACTTTAAGTGTTCTTTTAAACATCACTTTTTACAAAGAAATCAATTAAATTATTTGAAAATATTGCAAATCGATGATGATTTTGCATTTCTGAATACACCTGTAAAAAAATAGCAAACAAAAATGCTTTCCATGACATATGATACTGATAATTTGGAAAGTACTTTTTCTGCCAAGGCTCGCTCATCAATTAGTTTGTGTAATCAAATGACTTTTGGGGCAGAAAAGAAGAATTGTTTAAACATGCGCTCCTTTTGTCTAGTGTTCCATTGTACATGTAAGAAAAATGATATGTTTGTGAGGTACTACACCTTTAAATCATTATCAGACTTTGTATGGACGAGTCTATAATCTATTAAAATCAGGTCTATTCCATTCACTGATCAGCTTTGAATAAGAGAACATTATTTGTTTGAGTAGTAATAGTAGTGCAAGAGTGGTGTCAGAGATGCCAACCAGTACGATTAATTCATATTTAGTACGATAATAAGAGTGAAATACGATATCACCTCTTTAAAAAAAGTTTTAAAACCCGTAAAAACAGCGGAATCGCATAGAAACATATACAAGTAAACCCCCGCGACCCCCCAAAAAACTTTGCTTTATAATTTTAATGAAAGACCAAACATTTTACTTAACTGTACATACCAGTAAAACAGTTTTCTGAAATTTTACTGGCCCGGGCCGACGGGCCAGTGGTAGTGTCAAGTTTTCGTGAAAATCTGATTTTTCTCTCCAAAATCTGATATATTTTTTTCCGGATACCCTGTCTTTTTTGTGTGTCAAGAGGTTGGCATCTCTGTGGTGATGTGTCAGATTTTGTATCAGCTCACAGCCACATCACATGTTTGTGTTTTCATGCACAGGTTGAGTTTTTTATTTGCATTAATATTTTGAATTAAATATACATGTACATTGTATTACTTTTTAAAAGAAATTTTTAAAAGACCACGAAATCTCAGCAATAATTTTCATACAATACACAGGGCTCGACACCCACAGGCCCCCGGACAGTTGGGGTACCCAAAATCTGAGTCTGGACCCCTTAAGATTTTGCACTTTTTACTTAGGGCTCATTCATACATATTGTAAAAAGTACTATCCAGACCCTCTTCCAAAAATGTCTGTATGGAGCCCTGCAATATATTTGATCCTGCATTTCTCAAGTCAGGATGAAAATGCTTAGATGTAGGGCAATTCTTTAGGGTAGGTAACAAACTTATCCAGAGACTTGCACATTTATGAACATTCTAGATTTACAATATTTCATCCAGTGAAGTCAATCAACAGATTATTGCCTGTTTATTTTGCTGGAAAATTTTAACCCCCCCCCCCCCCCCCTTGCCTCAAAAAAAATATAATGAAGCGTAATCAAGGTTTGCAAGTTTTTTGCAACAAAAAAAAATTACAATAATTTGTAAATGGAATTTCCCTATATCGTGGCAGAGCTAGAGTCCTTTTTGAAAAGGGGTTACCAGATTACCGTATTGGCTCAGGAATTAACAGTAAAATATATTTAAAAGTAAGCAGAATATGGATATTAGGGAAGTAGGAAAATGGAATAGTCAAACATTTTTCAAATTTTATATTATTGAAGGTAGTGTAATGAAACTAATGAAATAACATTGATAAAGCTAGAGAGGGGTTGTACGATGCATGCTCCAGCAATAATTGTTCTCTGGTCACTCAATATCCTGCACTAGTAATAAATTTCTCAGATTCAACCTTGGAACAACACTATACATGTTCTGTAATCTACCCCTAATCCTGAATCTAACATGATGAAACCGATAGCTCAGTTGGTAGAGCTGTGGTCTCGTAATCCGGCGACCCGGGTTCAAAACCAAGACCATGCGTTAGTACCCTTTGTTAAGGCATTAATCCTCAATACCTGGGGGGTGTTTCACAAAGATCCTAAGTTGAACTTATCTCTAAGTTGGACTTAAAAAATATGGAAAGCCATTAGCATCCTTGAAAATATTTTCTAAAAGTTATTTTAAAAGGCATAAAATGTTGATTCAAATCTTTCATATTTTCTATCACCAAGGTGATTTCATGTTCTTGATGTGGAATTCATAAAAAGTCTGAAATACTTGAATTTCTGCTTTTGAATATATTTCATTTTAAGACTCCAATGGCTGTCCATAATTTTTAAGTCCAACTTAGAGTTAAGTTCTACTTAGGATCTTTGTGAAACACCCCCCAGGTCTCTTGGAGAGGACCTTAAGCTGTCGGTCCTCTGGTTGCTTACTATTTTTTCTTAGCAGTCAGGCAAAATAATGACCACTCATTTAATAACATAATATAATAATATTATAATATAATAATTCCCAACCATAACCCTGTATCGTTGATTTAATACATCCCAGAGCACTTGCCACCAAAGCAAATGTCCCAACAACACTGCAAAAATGACCATTTCAGAAAAAGTGTGCATAGAAGATGAGAAGCATATATTTGGCCACACAAGTTGTAAATCCACTCTTTAGTCAATCTTGATAATGAATTGCTTGAGCTACATCGATTGTAATAATAATAATAATAATAATTATAGGCATTTCTGTAGCGCCGTCTACCGGTATCTAGAAATTCTATTCCGAGGCGCATTTATTATTACCCCGGCTGTAGCCTAGCTGCCATTACAGCCCTCCAGTACTTTAAGGAATTCATTCCTGCCAGGTACCCATTTACATCACTTGGGTTGAGTGTGGCAAATGTAGATCAATGACTTGTAATATCAAGTGCAAACTTATGATCATCGTGCCAGTTCCCAGATTCTCTATGATGAATGATGTTCCCTCAACTTCTTCACGGCAAAATATTATTCATCACTGTGAGAGCTAAACGATGAATTCTATGAATAACTGTTCAGGCTCTACTGCTCTCTCGTATTGGGATAGATGATTGTCTGGCTGCATATGGTCTTTGAACGAAAATGAGTACATTGGTGTATCCCACAGGTACAGTGAAACCTGTCTGTAAAGACCACCAATGGAGCCAAGAAAAGTGATCTTTGTAGACAGGTGATCTCTATGAACAGGTGGTCACTAAAGCAGGTTTGACCGTATTACTCCTGTCTCTGTGTGTCATTGTCATCATATCCGTCATAAGATCACACATCTTGATTTTCGTCTACTCTCGACCTGGGAAAGGAAAGATGAGAAGGTCCAATTAGATTTCAATCGATAAACAACCATAACATCACATTCACTGAGGGCAGTGGTCATTACAGATAAATAATGTTGATTTAAAAGTTCAGATCGAAGACTGAGGTCTGACAGAGGGAGAGTACACAGCTAATTATGTAGAACACAATTATAAAAAAGACCATTGCAGTTGAATGTATATAGATTGAGAATTTAACGGCTAGAACCTAATTAAAAAAAGTCGTGGTTAGTGTTGGTCCGTTAATTGGTTTGTCATTTTCTTTGTGTTGCAATGACTTATATTAAGAGGAAGTCACTACTACTACTAGTGGTTAAAAATTGATATTTATGAAGATTGCTATTTGAGGTCTTGCTATATTAGCTCCAATATTGAAATCAGGAAAAACAAAACAACTTTTGCAGTAGAGACTTGATTAAAAGTGAGAAATGACATGCACTTTAAACTAACTGTTTTACTCACCAGGTTCTCATTGTCGATGCCTCTATCGAGTCTATGTTCCCAAGCTGTTGATGCCACAGAGAATCTTCTAGATGTCCCATGTTCTGGACATTTTGATGTCTCTACATTCTGTTCTGTCCTTGCTAGGTTAATACTTCCATTGCCTCGGTCAGACCCCAATCGTTCATTTCTCTTATGTGGGTTTGCCAATGTTGCTTCAAGACTTCGCATTGTCCTGTTCGGTTCAGTAAGTAACATGGATCCATTGGCGTTAATGTCTTTGGTCACGGAACAAGTATCCACACCGTTCGGTCGGAAATTCGTTCGACCCTTTTCTAGCTTTTCTGAAGATATGATACCCCTTTCGTCCTGTTCGCAGCACGTAGGTTTGTCCCTGAAGTCTGCGATGGAAGCGCTGATTCGACGTCTTCTGTGATTGCGGGCGCACGTGCACCTTGCTGGTTTGGTAGGCACGTCATGAGGTCTTGGAGGAAAAGATAATGGCTGTAGAGGTCCGGGTTTCGTTCTTGGTTTATTTGTTATGCCTTCTTTAGAATCTGATGGCTACAAAAGTAGAAGCAAATATATGTCTGAATAAGAATATCACACCAAAGCTCACTCGATATCTGCAAAATAAAGAGCTTGAACATTAACAGTAGTATCCATGGGGAGACGAGAGTTATGACAGAATACTTGTCCAAAGCATTTGTAACGTCAAGATGATCAATAAAAACTAAGATCAGGTAGAAATATTACCTTTACATTTGATTTATACATGTTCAAGATTTCCATTTTTCTCAGCAAATCTTAGAAACGTATTCTGAAGCAAACATACAAATGTATATATATATATATATCTAAAGCTGATACTCCCTAATGTGCCTTTTAAAGAGTCTTCTAAAGATGTTTAGAATAGATTCATGCACCAATTAACTACAGTCAAACCTGTCTATTAAGGCCACCCAAGGGAAAAAATGTGGCCACTGAAGAAAGGTGGCCTTTCTACAACATACATTTCTCAAGGGAGACGAAATGCATGACCGATAAAGACAGAGGCCTTTATTGAAGGGGTGGCTACTATTAAGAGTAAGACCTGTTTGTCTGTACTTTTTTTTAAATGCGAAATAAAAGCTGAATAGTACTTTTAATAACATTAAAAGGGTTTCCTTTCAACATCCAAATAAGTTCTCAAGTTCTCGCCCCGATTTACCTTCAGTGTGATAAGGAGATCAAATGGGAAGCCTTCAGGATCCTCTAGGCAATCTTGGAAGAAGAGTTGAGTTTGCGCCCTCTCACGTTTGCGTAACCCTCCATCTAGGTAGGCCGCAAAGATTAGACCGTTGATACTACTTTCTATGAAAATAATAAACAGGAATGATAATCACTAGTACTTCATAGAAGATTTTTTCTTGTTTTGACACGTCCTCACTCTCGCGTCGCCCCATCATCTCTGTTTTCTTTCTCCTTCGTCTTCTCTTTATATCCAGATGTTTACATATCATTTTCATGTGATTTTGTCCATGATTTTATCCATCTTCACTCTTTTAGAAGAAAAAAAAAAAAAAAATCTTCAAAATTTGAAAAAGACATTTCACATTTCTTCCCCATTAAACATTATGTTTACATCTGTACCTGACACAAACACCGCAATCAAAACATAAACAATTGTCCCCAAGAACAATAAATGAGAGAACCAGCGTAAACATCAAGCTGACATTACCCCACACCAATCACCCCAAGAAAAGAGCAAGGTAATTAAACAACCGAAGCTGTGACATCATAAATAGATTTCCTATATAATATAAACTCAGTGTTATATTGCTCTGGCTCGTATTGTTATGAACCAGAGGAAATCTATTTATTCAGATGGTCATATCTCAGCTTATACTTAAAGGTAAAGACCAGTATTGGCAACGCCCCAATTTCAAAAAATGAAATGGAAGCTCTCATTACCAATCATGTGAAAGAATATGTTTTGACTAATACATGATGATAAAAAATTTGCCGGGAAACCGCCTACTAATTCATATATTTGGTAAATTTATTTCTCTCATGGTCTGGTGAGAGAGATAGGGTAGTCCCATATACATCTTTCTGTGTATAGTGCTTGTAACTTTACGAAGAATGGGCCAAATTTCTTATCATTTTGATGATTCCAGAACCTTGCAGATGCTAGATGCTAGATGATCAACCTTTTCTGATCGATTCCACAACGTTTCTTTCACAATGCAATCGCATGACCATTACTGGTCTTTACCTTTAACCTATTCAATTGGTTTTTCGACATTTGGTCATTATGTTTGATGTTCTTTCGGAAAATGAAGAACAAATAGAGAAATTCCAAAAATATATATTTTTTTGATGACGTCACACTTCACCACAATATTCACCTGTCTTGTGCCCCTTGCTCGGCGGACAATCTGGGCGCCTCATGTCAAAGGTTACGTTTCCACCGGAGAGTGTCCGACTATAGGTGAGAGCATAGACCTGGTCTACGACTAGACCAGACTGGGTCAGATCTAGAAACCAACTGATAGACCCACTAGAGTGTCTGGGTTTCCGAGTTAAATAGGTCTGGAGTGGAGGATGCAAATGGTTGAACCTTTTAATAAAATACGGCAGGCGACAATGATAGCTTATACAAAATAAATACGATGATATTTTCATATAGTAGCGATGGAATGAAAATCATTCAGGAAAATACCCTTGCAAAAATAACATTTTGTAAGTTAAATATGTCATATAAATGTCGCCATGACGCTATACTTACTACATTTTTTTATAATTTTGGTCATCAACGTGCCCCCCCCCCCCAACGTAGCTACGCCATTACCCACTAATAACTTGTAAAACCTCGCTCATAAATTTGTTTTGCGCAGTTGCCATTTATTTCCACGTGAAGAAATTAAAAAAAAACGGGGTTTATAAACCGCTTCATTTCTGAGCAAGCCTTTTATATCCTCTCACCCAGACCTCTTACCCATTCTCCTATTTGAGGCCCTTTGATGGCGTGGTAGCGTTGCATATTGACGACATTGAAAGCTCCTTCTTTCCACCCCTTCAAGGCGGGTTCTCTCTGGGCATATCGGTAGTAAGCATCTTCTCTAGCGCTGTACCTGAGGTGGAAGAGCCCTGCCCTCCTCTCCTCTTCAGAGAGCACGAAGATGTTGCCTGGAGTCTCGACCTGTTTACACAATGATGATGATTAATACGGTGATGATGATAATAATAGACCATACTTATAAAGCGCATATCATAAATATATCCATATGCGCTGTGATAGAGAGAATGTTGTTGTTGGCAATAGTTTAATGGCGTTCATTCAGTATTGAATATATACGCCATATCTTCAGTTTTATAAGAAAATCAGTTACACATGTATACATAAGAAAACTGAGAATAAAGATTTGTAATGACATAATAAATTAGTCAGTGACGCATTTTATTAGGAGTCTCTGGATGGTTTGCAACTTGGTGTTTCTGCTTGGAGAGAAGGAAAGAACAGGGCCCCATTTCACAAAACTTGTCATCAGTGACAAAATAATGACGGTTTTTGTTATAAGCTAGGGAAATCCTTGCTTCTGATTGGTTATCAGCAGATTTGTCACTGCATTTTGGCATTTGTCATTGAAAAAAGGCTTTGTGAAACGGGTCCCAGGACAAATGATGCTGAAGAAAAGGGGGAGGGTGGGGGGGGGGCAGAACTATTAGGTCTCCATCATGTATAAGTTACCTGTAGCAACGGATTTCAGCTTGGTTACATAAAGTGTGTGTCGTGATCTATATTTCCATAATTTAATCAAATGAGATGAAAACCCTAAATTTTACCACTATTTTAATGATATCCTTCTTTCTCTCTTTCGCTCTGTATCTCTCAGTTTTCTATATTCTCTTGACGTCATCCCTGATATGTTTGTTTTATTTCTTTACTCCCATCTCTCTCTCTCTCTCTCTCTCTCTCTCTCTTTCTCTCTACATCAGTGGATCCATATTACATGTGGCAATGTTTATGGAGGTAAATGATTTCATCATATACCTTACCTCTTATCATAATAAAACAGTGGAGTTCGGAATTATTTAATCGATAAATCTGCGTCCATATGCCCTCCCGTCTAGAAATGTTATAGGTCAATCTACATGTAGATTGGTATATTAGCGATGATTATATATCTGTATATTGCTTAGTAGTTGGTTTAACTGTGTGTACTGCACTGAGAAACAACAACTTATGCATTAAGAACAGAGCCATCAGGGATAGTAGTAGTCCATAAGCTTGTTTACAATTCCGTATTTTCAACATGTCCTTTTAACGTTTACATGATTTTACTGTGGAAATCATCAAATTCTGACAATAGTATATTTTAAAGGTTTTGATTTGTTTGCTAATGATTTAGTACATTTAAATGGTTTGCTTACGATTTTTTTAAAATATCAAACAGTTGTATATTCAAACGTAGTTCGTGAACTGGGCTGTATCAATGGCGACACAAGAAATATGATCTAAATTTGCACTCCGACCGTTATAACGGCGTCACGTGGATATAAGTGCGAAACTGGACTTTTAAAGGTTCAATCGATTCCCACCATGCCTCTACACTGGAAACTGATATTTTACACCCTAGATTCCAGGGTTTCAAATATTGCACCTCTAACAGGAAATAGGCCAACCAACTGAACCCTAACAGGGTTAGTGTGCACCCAAGGCCATTAAGGGGGATGCTACCATTGTATCGCTTCATGCAGGGTGTGAATTTGAACCTTTGTTTCCTAGTGTTCAGTATGACATCATCACCGCATTGTTGTCATAACAATGACGTTTCATGGATCCTAGCGTTGAGGGATAATTGGTACCATGGGGCGGAGTGGAGGGGGGGGGGGCGACTGGTCTTATTCGGTGAAGGAATTGCGAAAACAAAGTAATCGATTGGTGTCGAAGGGAGTCCAGTCGTTTTCTCTTCTTTTGTTACGATGTTTCCCCTCTCACTTTCTTTCTCGCTTTCGATCTTTATCTATTTTGTATGGTTTCATTCACGGGGGAGGACACGTGCCCCGTTAGCTACGCCACTAATTATTGTCACTACGTGGTCTCACCAGGTAACAATACATGACAGGATCACTATTCGACGGGATAATATAGTTGGTAAACAAATAGCTGTAGTGAATATACTTCACCGCACGTACCGTTGACATTGACAACAATTGTATTGATTTCTGATTGCAATCTCTTTCCCATCATCATGATACATGTATTGAACGTATTGTATTTCTCAATTCGATGGGAATTAATTACATTTGCAATAAACTCATAGACCGACTCATTTATTTATATACTATTCATACTAATGATTTCACTCGAATATACAATCAAGGGCTCATTTTCTCGATCTGTTAATATCTTTCAAATTCAAAACAAAGTCAATTTAGTGTTTGGGGAAACTAATAAAAGCGAGACGTAGAGGGGATAAAATGTTTATTTTTTAGAAGATTCTCTTTTCAATCAATTGTGGTACCTGGGCAACGGAGTTTCGTTAATATATAATATGGCTTGGATTCTAAAGCTAACAATCCTAAATCGATTTGGGTGGACTTAGCTAGATAACACCCTGATAATCATTTCATTGCACTTTAAAGTTTCTCTTTATTATGTCAAATCATTTTGCTCTGAGACATTTCACCTTGCATAGGTTTATTATTTAATATTGTTTAATATTTTGAGAAGACGGGAAATCTGCAGATCATACATACCTCATCTGCCAATTCCTTTGGTAATCCTGAAAAAATGGAACAAAGAAAATAAAATGGATGCTTATGGTATACAAGAAAATAACACAAACGAGACACTGACTTTCAATAGGAGGCTATAAAAACTGTCAAAAGATGCTGGAAAAGAATATTACTTTAATTTATGGAGGAAATATGATTAAGATATCATCTTACATCGGGCTTGGAGCATAACCATGACGATATACTTCCATCAAAGAGGAAAACTACGGTATCACTTCATGATTTATTAATAACGCTGATCAATTTATGAGTAAATATGCCAAGTACACTGTATAGTAGGGCAAGTACTGGCTCCACTAGAGCAATCAATTACCACTTCTTGGATCGCTGGATAATTGACACTTGTAAATGGACCAGAAATGGACAGGAAGTAGGACGTTTCAAGGACCAGGTATACAAATATGAATTCATTAAAATTAAATACCACTGCGTTCGTCACTTTCGTTACATAATTAGATAATTGAATGAAGCCATTACAGCGAAAAGGTTCGAAGAGATGATAGTACGTCCTTCACGCTGGATCAACTGAATAAAAAAAAATCAGTCAGGGTTATTTTAATTGGTCTGCGTTACGCGTCGTTTTGCCATGAAAAATAAACTAATCTACTTTATAATAATGGACATTAATACAGCGTTCATGATGTCAATCGTAAAAAGTCATGATATCTCTTTGTTTACGTTGAAAAACACATTTAAATGAAATTGAACTTATTTGGATTTTAATCACAAATACTAAGAAATTACAATATTGACGGTATTTTCTTTTGCCGGGATTTCACTACATATCATTTTACAATGTTATAATGTACATGTACCATCAATGGTATGCTCATTTGTGAAACTACATTGTATTTTGAAATTAAAATTAATTCGGTATATAATTATTTAGATTTAAAAAGAGAGAAAATGCACTTTAGATTTATATACTGTAAAAGATTTTGATTATATGTATTTTTATTTGCGACACTATAAAGTAAAACAAGTAAAGTAAAGTAAAGACAATATTATTTCAGGTTGCGAGGGCAGTTAATCTACGATCCCCCAAGTAAAACAATGATTAAGACAATATTATTTCAGGTTGCGAGGGCAGTTAATCTACGATCCCCCCCCCAAAAAAAAAAAAAAATAAAGATCATTTGAAATGAGCTTATATGCGTCGAAGTATATCAGCTGCATTAAATGTTTTGCATTTATTAATTGTTTATTTATAACATTATGATTTATCTTTTGTGACGCATATTTTTTTATTTATTTCAAGGTACATAATTATACTATCTTTGTTAACAAAACAAAACAAAACAAAATTAATTTCCATAATAATGTTCGTCAAGAATCAACAACTACAATACATTACTGGTTATAATTAGTCATATGAGTGAGTTCAGCCCCCCGCCCTTCCCTTTGTATAGATTTTAATACTGATATTATTGATCATATCGTAATATGATTCATTTGCTTCGGACAGAGCGAAATGCAAGGACAAATATTCTTCATTTATACACAATAGCTAGATGACCATGAGTGTAATGAAAGAACTGTGTCTGACTATAGCTAGGCCTATTCATCCCCGGAATATCAGAGAATGAAACCATGATGGAGATTAGTTGATACTAAACGGAACATAACGCCATGGCAACGAATTTTGATGTTGGTGTAGGTAGTGGTGATGTTGATGGTGGTGGTGGTAGTGGTGATGTTGATGGTGGTAGTGGTAATGGTGGTGGTGGTGGAAGTAGTGATGGTGACTGTGATGGTGGTAATGATTTAGATGGTGGTGCCAGGTGGTGAAGGTGATGACGATTATGGTGGTGGTAGTGGTGGTAGGGTCGTGGTGGTAGGGGGTTCTTAATGGTGTTGGTGGTGATGTTGATGTTGGAGTCATAGGTGGTGGTTGTCGTAGAAGTAGATGGAACGGTAATGATGTCAAGAATATGTCACAAGTAGAAGCAGACACTTAAGGCTAATCTGAAGATTATGATTGAATATATATTTGTAATTGTGCTATTCATATAACACTGTTTGCTTTCATTTCTATTCACAATCGTCTATAATAAACGGCTATAATTATAGCAGCTGATGTAATGGTGGCACCGTGGCAGAGGTGATAATCAATCGTGTGTAATCATCAAAGTCTCAAAGAGTAAAACGTTTACATGACCTTTCTAGTTCTGCCTACTCTAGGATACTTACGTCTATAATCTATCTACCTTTAGAACATAATTATATTATCTTCCCTTCCATAAAGCGCATTCAAACGCAATTTAACCGCACGCACTTGACATGACGATTTATTCGGCAATATCACTTGAAGTTTGGGAGTCTTTCGCCGATGGTAGTCCAATAATCTACGATTAGAAAACAAATATTGTAACAATAATACTCACGTTTACTCCTCGTTGATATATCGGTATTTCCACTTAATTCATCCATGGCGATAAACTATTAAAAGATATCCAGCGTCTAGTATTAAAAGCAACGTCCTGCGATACCATAATTGACAGTGCTACCGAAATGAAGACGGATTGGGAAATGATGTTTTGGTACGTTTTGCTGCGCGGCCAGCCAGGAAACCGTACACATATTATCTACGGCTGGCAGTCCTTTAAATAGTCATATCCTGCAAGCGATGATAATGAATAACAAGATCGTTCATTGTTCTGGATAATCAAAAGAGAAATCGATAAGGTACAATACATGCGATGCGTTGATTAAAAATCCCTGATAAGCAATGGCTCTGAAGATGATGGATACCATTATATGCTTCGACGGTATAATGCTTCGTTCTCGATTATTGTTCGTCATTGTTGCGATGGGGTGGCGAATAGTTCCCTTAGAAACAACATATATAGGGTCTCATCCGGGAAACATGTCATCCCTATATCAAAAACTATTACTTCGTGGGGGGGGGGGGGGGGGTAAGAAAAGTTCGCGATAACCTAGTTTGAAATCAACAAAAAATTAATACGTCGTCTTGCATTGTGGTGGGCAATAAATAAAATCGTATACATGCATATACAATGATATCCGTATAGTACGGAAGCGTTAAAGTGCCATTCTACTTGACGACATGACGAGATATTTCATCTTGTCAAGTCGACTTAATATCCACATAATATCCACATGAACTTTTTGTGAAGTCGACTTGGCAAGATAATTTATTTCGCCATGTCGACATTACTTTTTGGGTAGTCGACTTGGTAAGATAATATATGTCGCCATGACGACATGTATGTTTTAGAAGTCGACTTGGTAAGATAACTTATGTCGCCATGACGACATGAACTTTTTGTGAAGTCGTCTTGGCAAGATAATTTATTTCGCCATGTCGACTAATAAAAGTTGATAAGTCGACATGGTAGGTTAAATATCTTTACATGTCGACATGATATGGATATTAAGTCGACTTGACAAGATGAAATATCTCGTCATGTCGTCAAGTAGAATGGCACTTTAACGCTTCCGTAGTATAGATATTGTCGACTGCGCTTATTATCTATTCGACCATATAAGATGAAGGCTAATCATAACATCATGGAAAGAGTAATGGTTAGAGAGCTCCAGGGGTGAAGGGGACACGTACCCAAAAGCTTATTAAGATTTAAACTAAAATTATGCATACGATGCACGGTATAGGGACTGCAGCCCCCCCCCCCCCCCCCCCCCCCCCCCCCACCCTAATACCTGTAGCATGACATGACATGAGAGAGAATGAAAGGAGAGAGAAGAGGGGGGGGGGGAGAGAAAGAGAGAGAGAGAGAGAGAGAGAGAGAGAGAGAGAGAGAGAGAGAGAGAGAGAGAGAGAGAGAGAGAGAGAGAGAGAGAGAGAGAGAGATAGAAAGAGAAAAAACAGAGAGATAGAGAGAGACAGACAGACACAGAAAGAGAGGGAGAGAGAGACAAAATACAGAGAGAGAGAGAGAGTGAGAGAGAGAGAGAGAGAGAGAGAGAAGAGAATACACAGAGAGAGAGGGAGAGAGAGAGAGAAAATACAGAGAGACAGAGACAGAGTTGGAGAGAGAGAGAGAGAGGGAGGATGAATTAGGATCCCAAGTTTAACAATTATGTTGCTGATAATAATTGCAAATAGTAAAAAAAATTGTAACTGATCTTTTCTTTTGTATTATTTGTTTAATACGAAATCGAGGTCATCGCCCAAGTAACTAATGAGTATATAAATAATTAAAAAATAATTCAGTAATGGGTATAGAACGCTGAATACACAAAAGCCTATTCTATTTTTTTTCTCTTCGATGTCAGACCTTATAGGCCAAGATATCACCCTTTCATGCTTTTTTGTTTCCTTTCGTGAATAATAAATTATTAATGCTATCGGGATACGGCACATATATCACTTTCCATTCGTTCGAATTTGTCAGACTTTTAATCTATAGACTACCAACCATTCTTATGTAGATGTTGCAATAATCAATTTTCTCTCGCTCTAATTGCCGCCCTCTACCTCTCTTCTAATTGCTTCTCTACATCTTCCTCTCTTTACAAATATCTATTTATCGTTATCTCTACCCCGCACTCTTCCCTCCTCCTTTTTAGTACTCTCTCTTTCTTCCTCCCTCACTCCCTCCCCCCTGTCTCTCTCTTTTCCCCTCTCCCCCTTTTCTCTCTCTCTCTCTTTCGAAGTGCATTTACGAAGTGCTCAAAAACAAAGATGGCTGCAATTAATATTCTACATTTTTGAAGGAAAAAAAAAAGGGGGGGGGGGAATAAAGGGGGAAAAAAAATCAAATCAATTTTCAAAAAATCGCTTTAAAAATGGCTTATCCAGACCAAGGCCTCAAGATGGGCAAAACGCATCGTCTTAGTGTGATCCCTTTATATTAGTTTAATTAGGAAATTAGGTTTTGAGGGACCCGTTTTCTTATTTTTTTTTTCTTTAATTAAAACAAAACATATTGGGGGGGGGGGGGGGTGGGGGGAGGGGTGGTAGGGGGATTTCGTCAAGATGGCATATTTTGGAAATGTGACATATCGAAAAGGCTATTCGTCATATTGTTGGGAATACAACAAGCAATTTTTTCTCTCTCTTCTTGGAGGAGTTTAGACATATAAACTACGTAAATCTTTGCATTAACATGATCCTTTAAATATTTCTTATAACCATCTATTGAGAGCAAGAAAGGCGTTTACTCATCTCATCTCAGACAGTATAATACCAGGCTTGCTCTCAAGTTTAACTCACACTACCAAGTTTTTTCTATGTTTATGTTGCATGCATTATAATGGAAAGCAATTTTATGTTTTACACATAATTAATCTTGAATGATGAATCTGATTTCAAAAACAGAATATTCTCATGTACACAATACAAAGCAGACAAAAGAATCTTCAAATGTAATATCTATCATGATTTTAATCACATGACTTCAGTGTACCAATCACGATACACAAACGTAAATGGGAAGAAACTTTCTCACGTTTTGATACACATATACTGTACTCTTTGAAATATTACTTGTATAATAAACACAGGCAATGTACATAAAGCATAATTGGCCAAACTCTGAACCCAATGATCATGTGCAGTGGTCATGCTATTGTCCAATTCTTTCTCAAAGTGTGCATTTATTTCAATATTTATAAAGCCGGTGTGTGAGAGAATACACCTAATAAGCTATATACGGTATATATCATATTCAAATGACAACATTTCCAAATTATATGTGTAAATTGTGTGTGATTAGCAACATGTATTTATACTGAGTGAATGGATACTAAATTAACAAGTGCACTAACTAATTATCTTGCAATAGAATATGAAAGAAGAATTGACTAGTCTTGGGTCCTGTAACATAAAAAGCAACTTAAAATCAATCCTAAATGTATCTCCAATCTTGCTGAAATTAATCATATCTTACCATCCATAGTATCTATTTGTAACATAAAACAAACTGTTTGTTACTGATTATTCTAAATTGAATGATATGCATTTCATCTGAAGGAGATACAGTTAATTTTAAGTTTTTATGTCACAGGGATCCACAAGCTATAATAATTATGAATCTACAATGTATGAGAGTTTAACAACAAATTTTATTTAAGGAACGGTGTACATGAAACGATTCTTGCAAAATTTGGTCAGATTTAATTTGTTGAGACTTTTTGAACATCTTTGTTTTCAGAAAAAGAGAAGTTTTTTTCAGAAAAGAAAAGCTTTATGGGCTTTGAATGTGTGTTATGACAACTCCAAGTATAGATCAAATTTTATTATTTTAACTTTCATGATAAAATTTTGCCCTGATAAACTCAAAACAAAGAATTGTCAGTTTTACAAATGAAAATTGTTTGGATTTAACAAACAACATTTCAGTATTTCAAATTCAACTTGTCTTTATATCTTTAATAGATTTGAATGGTTTTAAAAGTTTGCTTTGTTTATGCTTTGGGATAAAAATATTAAAACAATATTATCAAAAGGCACAAACAAAAATACATTCCAAAGCACATTATTTTGTGTATGATTCCTAGAGATGTCCAACATACGCAATATTTCACATCCATTCTGAAATATTTTTATAGAATCAATTCCATTCTTTGTACATGAAAAAGAAGATCAAATATTCAAAAAGTTCAAAACGCAAGTTCTCGAAAATTCCCTCAAACATGAGCTCATGATAATAACTTATTGATTCTGTTTTTGAAAAGGAACAGATATAAGAATATACCAATATGTTCATGTTAACGACTGCACAAAACAACTTTCGATGTAACATTATTAATCAGACAGAGAAGTCAACAAATGTTGAACTTTCAAAGACAATATGTATGAGAATAAAGACAAAAAAGAAAAATCTTGTACCAAATATCCCAAACTTGCTCGTCTTTCGTCGAATAAGATTTCATGGTTCTTTAAATCAAATTTTAAATTTTTGATGGGATATGACAGTAACTCTGTTTACACATAAATACCATTCTCAGACCAGACCAGGCTGTATTTAGTTTGTACAGATCTCATCCAAAAAGAATTCCTGAGAAAACTGCTTCCCCAGAGAACATGAGTATCAGTGTACAATGTCATTTTATAATATCAAATTTACAGGTTTCTTTTGAATGTTTTCTTCTTCAAACTTTGAGATGAAACACTTTCAGAAGTTGATGCTAACTAGAAGAAAGTTTAACTCCCTTAAACACACATAAAAAAGGCTTTTGCAACAAAGTTGACACTTAAGTTGGTGAATTAAATTGTATTGTAAAAATATGGATTTTAAGGAAAGAAGTATGAATAGCCATGTGTTAAACATTCTCAAAGAAATTTTATTTTCAATTTTAAAACAATGATTTCTTACTAAACCCTGATCGCTTTTACATGCCAGGTTTTCCCTGTCTGTTGTTCAATCCTAATTGGTACAACATTTAGCAGATCATTGGCAACTAAAATGCCAACTTCCAATATGGTGGGTCATTCTCAAAACCCTACTCTTTAAGAGCACTGTCGAGATGAAAAACAACTTTCAATAGTTCCTTATCACTATCGGTACAATAATCAAAATCTTATAATAAAATCCATCACAGTGATATGATATTGACTATGGAAACCAAAATGTTCCTCTGTCATGATAAGGGAAACTAACTACCTTTTGGATAAAATAAAGACTACACTCTTGGATGGTTTTAGCGCAGGACCGTCTCGTCAAATTCAAAGTTTGGTACATTCTGTGACGCAACCTTCCGTAGTCTCTTGAGGCAGTCGTTGAGATTGGAAGCCGGGACTGAGTCCAGGGATTTCAGCACCTCCTGTTAGACATAATGATAAAGGTTATACACAATTATAAGGTTGATGCATGGAAAAT